TTCTGATCTTCTTTCTGAGATGAATGTTTTGCTATTTACCCTTCCTCTGTGTGCCATACAATTGTCATCACATCATCTGTTCTGATATGTCACTCCTTGTTTAGGACCCTATTTGTGATTTGTAGAAATATTCTTAGCCTCAACATTAGTCATTGTAAAAAATTTGCCTTGAGTACAGATTATTTAGCACTTATTATGCAAGTAAGGTTTTGTTTTTCTTCAACATGGTCTACAACATATTTGGGGATAACCTCTACCTTTCTGAAAAATTATGCAGCCCGGTGTCTTTACCTGACTCCGTATGTTCTGGGGCTAACTCCTCTGTGTTTTGCCCATGTGTTCCTTGTCTTGTCCATACTATGGCAATGAAGTCACAGGGTAAAGCGTTCATATTCTGGTTCTTTGTGCAGGAAGAGTCATTTTTCTGTTCATCTCCACCTTCTCGCTATAAGCCAGCTCAGCACAAGCCCATAGCTGTTGATCTGGTAAGGTGAGCTGTTGATACCCACCTGTCATTTGACTTGTTTCCTATCAATTCCACTTTGATCTAGTACCTTACCAGTCCTTTGGCTCTCAGGTAGTTCTTTCCTTTGGCACCTTAAACAAGCCTTTGTACTTTTAAAAAAGATCTGGATTCTGTAATCTAGTCTCCAAGCATGAAGTCCTTGACTTGGATTGAAGCTGGGATCCTCCAACTCTTAGGATCCTTGTGGATTTGGGATTTCTCCCAAGCAAGTCATTGAGGCCCAAAGCAAGGTCTTGGCCCATTGAAAGGTCCTTTACCACTTTTTCATTGCCCTGAAAGAGATTTAGACACTCTCAGATTAGGATCCAAGCTGATGATTGATATTTCACTACACAGAACCAGGGCCCTATAACATTTCCAATTCAACATTATTAAAGAGCTGGCTGCAATGGCTGACCCTTTCATCATTTTATTCATCAATATATGTTTAAAAAAGATTAACAGAGGAGTTGGAAAAAAGAAACTGATAAGCTCTAAAGAATCTAATTTTAAAACAAATTTTCTACCCCCGTCAAGCTTCTAGCATTAAAAAAAAAAGCAAAATGTACAACTTAGATAATATCTGGCTAACACACTGTTCTGCACAGCCTACTTCTTTATTGAAACCTCCTAAGAGACTCAGTGAAATATCTGTTAATGAAAAACTGGACAGCAAGAAAGAAGTAATAAGGACATTTTTATCTCTTTGGCAGTCTTCTAATAAAAAATGAAATGAAAGTAAGTTCATTTTAATTGATGAAAGAAACATGGATTTCATCAAGTTGAAAGGCAAGCACTGCTGGGGCAAGTAGCATTCTTGCTTTGAGGTGTTGAGCATTGCTCCACTGGAACATGAATTAAGTTTATTGCAACAGTCTGTTTTCATATTTAGTTTTCCTAGGAGTAGTATCATTTCTTATTTATAATGGTATATGTCCAATGATGAGCACAAGACCTGAGTGTAATAATTTACTGGTGCCTGATATATTATTCTTGAATGAATGAATAAAAGATGAGATGATCCATTATTCTTTCCGGCAGAAATTTATTATCTAGTTGGAAGGGAACACACACAAAAATAAATGATGTTTTATGTCAGTTTATTGATTGTTAATCACCCACTGTTATCACTTTACTGTTCACAATTTTTTGTGGTGTCTGTGATAAGTCCTAAAGGGGGACAAGATGTTCTTTCTATACTGGCCTGCGTCCATTTCTTCCAATACTCCACCCTCAAGTTTGCTTTCCAATTTATCCCTCTGGTCACTCTTCTGAAGTGCCCTTCTTCCTCAATAACTGATTAATCCCTCTTCATCTTTCAAGTCCCAGTAGAAATGTTATTTCTTTCTGGAGATCATCTGTGATTGCCTGGGCTAGGTTATCTGATCCTGGTTCAGAATTACACTTGTGATCACTCCTCCTGGATGTCATCCCTGACAACCATGAGCCTCATGAAGGCAAGGACAGGTTCTGTCTTGTTCCTCTCTTCCAGCATAGGGCTCAGCATAGTAGGTATTCAATAAAAGCTGATATAATGAATAGCACCTTCTTATTGGGAGCACCATGGTATAGGTAAGGGTCTCTAGAGCATGGAACTGGTTCTTGAACTGATGAGAAGGCAGAGGCCTAGAGTAGAGAATATGCTCAGGGTCTGTGGTTCATAGGCCAGCAGCACTGAGATTACCTGGAGCTTGTTAACAATGTGATTTCTTAGACCCCACCTCAGCCCTGGGTGATTTGCATGCATGTTCAAGTTGGAGAAGTACTGTTTTTCATCTGGCCACCCAAAGGAGAAGGCATACCTTGAGAATTATCCCACTTAAGAGACTGAGGCCCTGAATAAGCCTGAATCGTCTATATGTGGGGACACAGGGTGGCCTCAGGGACCAACTAAAGTCTTCTATTTCACCTTTGCCCCAAGCCTGAGTTCTAATTCAACCCATTTTTACCTCATCTGGCACAAGGTAACTGATTATTTTTGTCTGGGAAAAATGCTGTTTGCCTGCGAGTTTTTTCCAGTCACATGAAGCTGCAGTTCCTCTCTCAGCCTCCTTACTGGTTGATCATGGAGAAGGGATATTCAGTCCACAGTCCACCTTGGATGTAAAGGGTCAGGTGCCCAGACCCCTGTCTGACTTTGCACTGAGGAACCAAGCAAAAGAGATCTCAAGCAGATCCCACAAGGATCCTATCTTAGTGTGTTTTGTGCTGCTATAGCAGAATACCTGAGACCGGGTAATCTATAAGGAAGAGAAATGCATTGTTTCATGGTCCTAGATGCTAAGAATTTCAAGATTGAGGGATTAGCATCCAAAGAGGGCCTTCTTGCTCACATCATCCCATGATGGATGGGCTATGAGGGGTGAGAGAAAATACACCAAACTTGAGCTTCAAGCCCTTTTTATTTATTTATTATTATTATTTTTTTGGCCAGGGCTGGGTTTGAACCCACCACTTCTGGCATATGGGGTCAGCGCTCTACTCCTCTGAGCCACAGACACCACCCTTCAAGCCTTTTTTATAGCAGCATTAATCCATTCATGAAGGTGGTACACTCATGACCTAAACACCTTTTAAAGGTCCTACTTCTCAACACTGCTGCCTTGGGGATTAAATTTCTGACACATGACCTTCGAGGGGCACATTTAAGCCATGGCAGATCCACTCCAAGCATCCCAACCCACCTGACATGTGAGTCACTTGTAGACTAGGTGAGGGGACAGAGCGTTCACAGCTAAGAAGCTCACAACTTCAGGGACCTATAGAAAGAGGTAGACCAGATAGGGCATGGCCAGGAGGCTGTCTGTAGGGTGAGGCAGCTTCATTCCCTGCAGTGGGGACATGAGGTGGAGCTCAGGGTTTAGATACAGGGTCTGAGTATTTTATACCAAAGCAAGAGAGATGGAAGTTTCTAGAACATAAGTCAAAAATGGACCAAGACTTTTCCTGCCACAGTGACTTTTTAGTTGCAGAAGTGCTCAAACCCTCTTCTAGTCTGAGGGCAGTAGTTCAGGATACCTTGGTAGCAGGGCATACAGGGAGTGGGTAGGATAAGGTAGAAGTTTGCTTTAAGTTCTTATCAATTCACGACACCTGGGCCAATCCCAGGCCTGCATATCCCCTAGCCTGAACTTCATCCAGTTATTTCTTGTAACTCTTCCCACTTTCAATTTTCAAAGGTGGCTTTCCTACTGCTCTGTAGAAACAAACCTCTGGGGTTTTTGTTTTTGTTTTTGAGATAGAGCCTCACTATGTTGCCCTCGGTAGAGTGCTGTGATGTCACAGCTCACAGCAACCTCTAGCTCTTGGGCTTAGGCGATTCTCTTGCCTCAGCCTCCCGAGTAGCTGGGACTACAGGACCCCACCACAACACCCGGTTATTTTTTGGTGTTGCAGTTTGGCCGGGGCTGGGTTCAAACCCGCTACCCCTCAGTATATGGGCACAGTGCCCTACTCACTGAGCCACAGGCACCACCCACAAACCTCTGTTTTATGTTGCTTAAACACCTATATTTTTTTCTTTTTCTTTCTTTTTTTCTTTCTTTCTTTCTTTTCTTTTTTTTTTTTTTTTTTTTTTTTTTTGTTGCAGTTTTTGACCAGGGCTGGGTTTGAACTCGCCACCTCCGGCATATGGGACCAGAGCCCTACCCTTTTGAGCCACAGGTGCGGCCCAAACACCTATAATCTTATTGAATTACCCCTATGTTTGGTTAGACAGAATTCCCAGACCTGCATCCCAGGGTCACTTAAGTAACTCAGCCTGATGATTTAGGGGGGACTCTGAATCCCACCCTGCCCATCCTTAGTCTCTCTCCCGCTGCCCCAGCCTCCTGGATTTCAGCCTCAACAGCTTCTACCTCTGACACACAGGGTTATTCAATGTACAGTTGGCTCTTTTTATCACTTGCAAAAGTGGAAATACTTAAGAGCATCTTAAGGTGCTGCATGAGCAATGCTAGGGTGAAGGCTTCCTGACTTAATTACATGGGGGAATGGGGAATGAAGTGGGTATACGGAGGAGGCTGAGGTGGGCTGGAAATCTCACCCAAGAATGTGCCAAGAAATGGCAATAGTGTGTGGTGGAGCAAAGTGGGTCTCAGAATCTTCCTGGCTTTTTTTTCCTTTTCAACTTGTTATGTTACCTTGGACACTCACTAAGTTGTGTCACTTTCCTCATCTGTAAAATGGACTGTTGTAAGTTTGAACAGGAATCATGAGTTAAGTGTCTGGTACCTTGAAAGTGCTCAATGAATGTGGAGGAGTAATTGGGTGGCTAGAAGACACCGCCAATCTGCTAGCCCCCAGCCCCCAAGATCAATAGCGCACTAGCAAGGCCCAGGGGTGGTGGCCCCGGAGCCGGATTCTTTGAGGCCCCAGTGACCTCTTGGCCCAAGCGCCCGCCCTTCCCAGGCGTGCGGGCGGGAGGCCGAGCTGCGGGCGGGGGCGGTGGCCCCGCGCTCCAACCAGCCTGCGCGTCGCGGGCGGGCGGGGCTGAGCGTCCCGGCGCCTGGGGCAGGTCTTATAGCTGCTGGCCAAGGCGCTAGTGCGTGGGGGCAGTGTACGGCTGGCGGGCGGGGGCCGAGGCCCAGAGACCGGAGCAGCGGGCACCAGGGCGGCCTGGAGCTGGGCGAGCGCCATGAGTACCAAATGCGACGTGGTCGTGGTGGGGGGCGGCATCTCAGGTCAGTCGCGGCCGCGCGCCCTCCTTCTTCTTCGCGCACTCGGACAGGTGGCCGCCTAGGAGAGGTGCGCGGGGCGGCAGTGGGGCGCGGGCTGAGCCCGGAGCCCCTCGATTCTCTGTGCACCGGCCGGTCTCTGCGGGTCCCGAACGCTGCGGATTGAACCCTCTCTCGGTAGAAGGATTTGGTGCCACCAGAGACAAGGCTGGGGGTTAGAAGGAAGCCTGTTGAAGGTCTAGGGCCAGACTTTGACCTTCTTCCCGGGAAGGCTGTCAGGCCTTTCCTTGCTGGAATTTTCGAAGCCTGGGTAAAAGGGGTGAGAAGAGAGGAGGCATCTTGGGGGCGGGAGGGTTCAAAGGTCAGTCATTGCTCCCACTTAATCTGCACGCTGAGTACCCTGGCTTAGAGCAGGCATACACCACGACGTATTTTTATCCTGGTATTGGGAAAATGGCCTTGAACAGAAGGAAGAGGTTGGATTCTGCCAATCAATTACCAAAGGCCTCCCAGACCCCCCCCCCCGCCGAGTTCTATGAATGTCAAGGATCTACCTGAGGCTGCAGGGCCTTCCGGGAAAATGCCTCTTCTCTCCCTCCCAACCCGTCGGGGTGGACGAGCTACAACTTGGCTCTCTGACCCAGCCCATATTTGGCATGGATGGAAACAGAGACTATCCCTCAGCCACAGGGCTGCTGTGTGCAGCAGGGGTGACAAAAAAAAAACAAAAACCAGACGCCAGAAGGAGGAATGGGGTTAGTGGGGGGGTGGGGAGGAGTTGAGTTGATCATATGATAGTGGGATCCGTAGGAATGAGTAATGCTCCCAGTATGGGCTTATAAACAGACTCCAGGGATACTTCAACCCAACTCTCAGCACCTCGTGTTGCTTGAGCAGTAATTAAGGCACTTCCAGACCCTGAGAATGTGTTGTCTAAAACTTGCTTTAACCAGTTTTCAAGTAGCCTTCAAGAGCAGGAGTGGCCTTGCTCTCTATGAAGAGGGCAAGGCCGAGGTGTTGGAACTCCCCTGTGGCTGGAGAGGAAACAACTGCATTGGGGGTTGGTTGCTGACCCTGGTGCTGTGCTGCTGCCACCTCTGCTGCAGCCCTCTGCACCCATGCCAAGCCCTGTGCCCAGTGCTGCAGGTACATAGATACATAACCTCAGCATGCTGAAGTTGGCCAAGGCTGTGTATAGATGCAGTTTTCATTTTATTGATTGATTGGGGCAAAGTCTCCCTCTGTTGCCCTCAGTAGAGTGCCATAGCATCTTAGCTCACAGCAACCTTGGGCTCAAGAGTGATCCCCTTGCCTCAGCCTCCCAAGTAGCTGAGACTACAGATATTTGCCACAATGCCCAGTTGGTTTTTCTGTTTTTAGGAGACATGAGGTCTCACTGTTGCTCAGGTTGGTATGGAATTCCTGAGCTCAAGCACTCTGCCTGCCTGGGCCTCCCAGAGTGCTAGGATTACAGGTGAGAGCCACTGTGCCTGGCCTAGATTTAGTTTTCTTTCAGTATTATTATTATTATTATTATTTTGTGAGACAGAGTCTCACTATGTTTCCCTGGGTAGAGTGTTGTGGCATTACAGCTCACAGCAACCTCCAACTACTGGGCTCAAGCAATTCTCTTGCCTCAGCCTCCCAAGTAGCTGGGGAAGCTGGGACTACAGGCACCTACCACAATGCCTGGCCATTTTTTGTTGCATAGTTGAATAGTACTGACTATTGTTGCAGTTGTCATTGCTGGTTAGCTGGCCCAGGCTGGATTCTTACCCACCAACTTTGGTGTATGTGGTTAACGCCATAACCACTGTACTACGGGCGCCGAACCTTGTTTCAGTTTTTTTGACATCCTTTCTCCTAGAGGAACTTATACATAAATGCATACCTAGAATGTTTTAGAAAATATTAAATGTGTCTTGGTACTGCCTTGCACAACACCCCATCTTATGGAGTGCTGAAGGTTCTTTTTTCAGTCCTCCTGAATCCTTTTCTTACTTTAGTATGCCTAATGGGTTCAAATTCTCCTATTTTCCCCTGTTATTTTGCTCTTTCTAATTCACATCCAGACTTGTAAGTTCATGTAAGTTATTCATGTTAAACTCACACAGGGAGGGTAGATAAGGGTTTTGCAGTTTTTACAACAGTGATGAACCTTGACATTCATTCCCTAACCTTTATCAAAACAAGGGACTGCTAAGTAAATTTGCCTTTCCATGGAATAAGCATTGTTCTAAGAACCAAAAAAACTAGGTTCCAAGGCTCAACCTTACTTAGTTGTTTATCTGCTACATAGGGATAACACCAATTAGTTATAGCTAGATTTCAGGGTTGTGAAGGACAAGCGAAACAATGAAATATGGCACAAAGTCTCACAAGAGTTTTGTTCATTTGTTCAAAAAATAGGCATCAGGGGAGGCTATGCTGGGAGATTAAAAAATGGATCATGTTGTTCTTGACCTAGAAGACTTCCAATCCAAGAAGGAAGATGGGATGCTCAAACAAAGAGAATGCAAGGTAGAAGGTCATCTGTGCCACAAGAGGGGTCCATTCATTTATTCATCATTCACTCGATTAATATTCACTTTATGAAGTGAATATCCTGCCTCAAAAGGAGGAAAAAACAACTTATACCATGCCATTGCCCCTGGGACCCTCACAAGCTGATATGAGAGACAGAGTCCATACTGTTTGACCTGTGATAGATGCCTTAGTAGTACATGTAAAAGGTTCTAGGGAAGGTGATTGGAGAAAATGTCAAACTCTGAGAAAATCTTCATAGAGGAGGTAACATTTGACTTGAGTTTTTTTTTTTTTTTTGCAGTTTTTGGGTTGAATCCACCACCTCTGGTATATGGGGCCTGCACCCTACTCCTTGAGCCACAGGCGCCACCCCATTTAACTTGAGTCTTTTTTTTTTTTTTTTGCAGTTTTTGGCCGGGGCTGGGTTTGAACCCGCCACCTCCGGCATATGGGGCCGGCGCCCTACTCCTTTGAGCTACTGGTGCCTCCCATTGACTTGAGTCTTAACAAACATGAATTCACCAGGAGATTAGATGAAAAAAGCATTTTAGGCTACAGCACAGCTTACATAAAACCACAAATATGTGCAAGAACATGGTTACATGTTTAGAAAACCTTAAGAGCTTCAGTGTGGAGAGGTGGGAGGTCTGGTGGGAGACAAAGCTAGAAAGATCAGTTGAGGTGAATTGTGGGAAGCCTTGTGTATCATCCCTCCAAAGTTTAGCCTCTTCTGTGGTGGATGAATAGTACTATTTTTTGTTCCCTAAGAATGATGATATTATGATATTAGCAAAAAGAGGCATGGGATGTGTTGGGAAAAGATAGGATATATAGAGTTGGAGGTACTGGGAGGACACCCAGTGAGAGAAATGTGGGTTATAGATGTGCATGACAGAGAAGTTTGAATTGAAGCCATTAAAATAGATGAAATGGTCAAAACTAAGGGTGCAAAGTGTCTAATTTTAGAACTAATAGGTTACTGGCATAATAATTTTTATTTAACAGTCTCTGAATTCAATCCTGGTTTTTAAACATTGTTAATTATTAAACTTGGGACATTCTTGTAATTCCCTGATAATTTTTAAAGCTGTCAGCAAACTTTAATCACTCCCTTTGGGATAACAGGGATGTATTGGGAGTATAGTTGGTTAATATGTAACCGTCTTTTTTGATGTTTGAGAAATTCCAAGGCACTTGTAGACCAGCTTTTTAGAAATGTGTTCTGTATATAAATGAATACCTACTGAAATCTCTTTCACCCATGGGGCTGGACATGTCTGGAGACTTGGCATAGCAATGGCATCTTCCACATGGAGCTGGACAGCAACATGTTGCTTTTGTTCTGAGTCTCAAGTTTAGTATTTGGGTTGATGGAACCATGAGAACTACCCTTTGCAATTCTAGAATGGTTCTTGCTCGGTCCTTAAAATAAAAGCTATAAAAGGCATCTCAAGGGCGGCACCTGTGGCTCAAAGGAGGAGGGCACTGGCCCCATATGCCAGAGGTGGCCAGTTCAAGCCCAGCCCCTGCCAAAAACTGCAAAAAAAAAAAAAGGCATCTCAAAGCAGAAATGAGAACGTTTTGGCCAGGCTTGGGAGAGGAGAGTTGGTCATCTAAGGGTGGAAAGCACTTGTTTGAAATCCCTAGAAGAGATGGAATTGGGCTTCTAAATTGTAACCAACACCTGGCAGGTGATCTGTGGGGCCAGGACAACAATCCTGGCTGTAGGCTAGCAGTACTGGCCTGGGCAGAAAGTGTCATAGATAGTTCACTAGGGGTCACGAGTTGAGGGATGCAGTGGGCACACGTGCCAAAGCCCCTACACTTACCTTTGGTAAAGAAAAATGGAGAACTTCCCTGTGCTTCTCTAACCCATTTGAATGTATAGATGTGCCTGGAAATTTATATATCCCAGTCAAGGAATGAACATAGAGAGGTTATACAGCAATGTTAAAATAGCATAGGCTTCAGTGTCAGACTTGTTGGGAATCGCATTTCTTACACTTAACCTATTGTATAACCTTAAAAGTTAAATAAATTCTGTTCTTCAACTGCCTTATTTTAAAATGGACTTATAATACCTTCCTGGCAGACCTGTTGCAAGGATTCAAAATAATGTACATGAAGAACCATGAACTTTGGTGGTCATTATGGCTTTGGACTGTAGTTGCCTTGATCTACCTTTTGGAAAATACATCTGTATTTGGCTTGGAGGGTTTTTAATCTATAGGAACAAGCAAGAGGCATTTCTGTGTAATCACTTCTTCCTTTTCCCAAGTGATTTTTTTCTGGATGTGAGGCATATAGGTGTACAAGATGGCAACAGGATTTGGGGTATATGTGTGGGTGTCAGTAGGGACCTGCCTATTGGTTCCAGCCTCATCCTGCCCCAGCCCATCCCTTTATTCCCCCAAGCGATGGGACTGAGCAACTCAGCCTCTTTTTGGACTGTGGGACCCATGGGGTTCCTCATGAGAAAT